TATTAACATGAGTGGAAAAGGATGTAAAACAGAAGTTTCTCCAACAGCCATTGTTTGGAGATACACAGGAAGAAAAGTTACAGAAAGAAGATACAGAAGTGTATTATTTTATGGTATAGATACAGTCTATATGACTTGTGGTTAGGAGAAACCATCTAGAAGTAAAGCAGGCAAAATTGCAGTTGCATTTCAGGAAGCACCTGCAAAGAAATGAGCTAGGAAAACATGGAAGTCCTTTGTGTTCTAGGAACATTAACTTCAGAGAGGCAAACCTGTAGGAAAGGGAATAGTGAGATATAATAAAAATCTAGTTGGAAAAACATACTAATCTTCTAGTCCAGAGTATAGTTTACATCTTTATCTCTCATGTATTGAGGTACCACTATGCTGTGCTCTGTCCTAGACAGGGCTGGAATTTTATTCCAAAGGAAATTTTAGGGAAGAGTCTGTTGTGGTCAGCGAAGTGAACTAATATAAACTGGTATCTTTTTATCTCTAACACTGATGGTTCTGTGAAAGCTGTTTCACGTTATCGGATGACAGAAGAAAAGCAGGCAAATGTAATTTCTCATGAGGAGAACCTAGAGATGATTCCTGGCTAACTTTCTAAAGAGTACCTAATTGCCTTTAGGTTTTTTGATGCTGTCCTCTTTTTGGAAAATAGTGACAATTGGGTTGATAAAAAATGACTTATTCTGGAAAGAGTGCAACCAACTTTTAGCTATTCCTGAAAGCTTAGAGATTCATAAATGTTTGGAGAGTTAGAGAAAAAAAACACCCTTGCAAATACAAGGGAATGCTCATAATCTTACTGATTTCTCTGATTTAAGATGTTTTGTCTATTGCAGAAAATTTACCAAGGGTGATTAGAGTTCATGTAAATACCAAGGCAGAACTTACAGCCCATGGCTTCATTTCATATGTCATGTTATTACAAGACCTACTGCTTCAAAGTAAATATAGAGCTGCTGCAGTCATTGGATTCATGTGGGAAATGCAGGCTGCAATTACTTATTTTGAAGATTGTATAGTACTAACGTGTTGCATGGGTACCTGCCAAAAGGATTTACAGGTACAGTTTGACCATCAGTACAGAAATTCCTCACTCTGAGGTTCTTACACTTGAGAAAGTAACAGGAGATTTAGCTGAGGAAGTAATTATTATTGTTATTATTATTAGCTTTTGTTAGAATTTAATTTTGTGAAATGGTGAGCTACAGTTGTTTCTTCACTGCCAAGTGATCTTCAGGAATTACTGTCTATCTCTGAATTTACAATCTTTATAATTACTGTATTTCTAAAACAAAATATCCAGTAACTTAGGGATAAAATGTATTTCTTACTTTTCTTTAATGTATACATACTTTATTTGACAGGAATTATTTTCCCTAAGAGTCTACTAAATAAATAGTTTGGAGACAAAGGAGAGGTTACACAGCCTTATCTTTAGTTGCACATAATCTTTTTTTCACCCTTACTCAGTACATGCTTCTAAGTTCAGAGATCTTAATTCACAAAGATACTTAGCTACATTCCTAGCTTTAGGCAGACTAATAGTTTTGTTGTCTTTACTGGGACAATTCATGTACTTCAAGTTGAGTGCATGAATAGATAACTGGCTGAAGGCAGAGGATTAGCTCAACGTTTGTATAGTAGTTCAGTAGTATTTGTAAGAGCAAAGTCTGTTTGCCCAAACGAGTTTTGTGTATGCAAGTTCAATAGCTTCTGCATCCAGGACTTAGAGTCAGACAAGTGCTTGTGTACCCATTAAGTCCACCAAAATCCAAATGTATGAAGGTGTTTATGTATTCTCAGAAGCTGTGGTTAATCCAAGTAAATAATTTCTTTTTTTTTTTTTTTTTGCTTATATACGTATTTATTCATGAGAATAATTTTTTAATCTTGGTTAATATTTCATTTGGTGAAACAGATTCCAACCTATTTTCTGCTTAAATTATTTTCCAAGAAAAGCCTTGTAGCCAAGAACCTCCTACAGAACTTAAAATGCAGATCCCCTACCCAAGCCACAAAAGCACATGAAGCACAAAGAGCAGGGGTTCTCAGGAGCAACAGTCATTGTGTTGCACAGCTGAAAAATCCTGAACCAGCAAGCAAAATAGAGCGAAATGGAAAACTGAAGAGGTCTGTCAGAAATTCTAGCCTGAACTGAAAAACCAATCTGTGACTGGCAGAGACAGAGGAAGCTGAGATAGAGATTGGACATGTAGAAAAAATGATTCATGCTTCTAGACAATGTAATTCATGTTGCGGGTAGGACAGAAGAATATCAACAGACAGCAACTATTGGATATGGCACATGGTACTTCTGGACAAAGGGAAAGTGCTGAAAAGAAAAATGTCGACTAGTAAATTACTGGAAAGTGCAAAGAAAGCACATGAGAAATGTGTCCAAAGAAGTGAAAAATGATGCAGGGAAAGGTAACAGAGACATGCTGAAGGCTTCGTGGTTGAACTAGAAACTTCCACTGTGCTGGAAAGTCATAGAGGGTTTAAAAAAATAAACAGAAGGAAATCTTCTGAACCAGAAATGGAGCCATGAAAAGCAGAGACAGAAGAGTGCTTACTTCCAAGATAAAACAGAAAAAAAGCTTGGTGGTGCCTTTCAAGGAAGTTGTGAACAGGCGCAGCCTCACCACATTTAAAATGAACAGGGGAACATGAACATTTTGCCCTTTTTTTTGTGTTAAGAACAGAAATTGAAAGTACATGTTGCAGCCATCATGTTGAAAAATATAGAGCCAGCAAAGGATGACAGGAGAAAAGTGTAGAGAAGCAGGAAGAAAGTAAATTAATATCTGCGGGAAGGATGCGATTGTGCCTAAGGAATGAGAATGTGGAGTCAATGAGTGGATGCCTATAATAAAGATCCCACACATTGAAGAGGTGTCCTTGCTTTGTCCTGAGTAAAGTCTTTTGCAGTTGTACTACACAGGGTGAAAGAGGCAGCGACTGTAGAATTCGGAGAACAACAAGCTGGATCTGGACTCAAGAGATACTATAGAGACTGGATGTTCATGTTGCAGATTACCGTGGAAGGATCCTTCTCCATGAAAGGCATCTTCTCTTGCCATTGCTTTAATTGACCTTCAAAATTTATCACTTAGCATGAAGAGCTACCCCACTAGCCCTTCCCACAGTCATTCTGCAGTGTTGTGGGTGGAGATGAGTGCTGTGTCGGTGCACAGCAGCAGTAATGTGCACAATGCAGGCATATGGCATCTCCAGCAGTCCATATATCCCCCCACCCTTTGATGCAGTGTGTGAGGGAGAGGATGTGCATGTGCACATATGCATTTCAGTGGGGAACATGGCAGGGGAGCATGGAGTGGAGGGGAAGACTCAAATGGAGATTGTTCTGCAGCGACCAGGCATGGTGGCCACCACAGCTTGGCCCCTCGCCCATCTCTGTCCCCTCCCCACAGGCTGAGGGGAGCCAGGACAGACATCAGGCTGGAGGTGGCCACTTCTGCCCCTTGTTCCCCTGTACAAAAGCTCCAGCTCGCTATATCCTAAAGTGTGGGAGTAGATGCTTTAAATGCCACCACATTTGTGATCATCTAAATCGTGATAAAGACCAGTTAGGGACACAAAGCAAAATTTTCCAAGGAAATCATTAAGAAGATGCCTTAATGAAGGGCAAGATATAATTGACCTCAAGACCAGCATGCTACTAAAAGCAGAAGCAGCAAATGGCAAAGAGAAGTAAAAACAGTTTACACTTTGTACACTAGTGGGAGGATGGATGAAATGAGTGTTCACAATAGTAATGAATGACAAGCAGACCTCAAGGGTAATGGCCCTTTAAGAAAGTGACCTCATCTCTAATGTAAACTACTTATAGAGGTATGTAAACATTTCCACTGGCTGTAAAAATTTATATTCAATAGATTTGTCATCCTGTAAAACCCCAAAGAAATACTGGAATGGAAATGTGCTTGTGTCTCATGTTAGGTTTGCACCCTGCACTTCAATCTTCTGGTTTCTGTCTAAAATAAAATAGGTAAGCACTACATTTTCTTTTGGAAAACCAGCTACATCACGTTAGCTGGTTGTGTGGCACATCTCCCAAACCAATTACCAGGGATTTTTAAACAGGGTTAAATATCTATAAATTGTATTTCAATCCTTTTAACTGGATGGATTTTAGAAGTTTCTTATTGTTTAAATAAAACTTTTAGAATACACCACGGTAAGTGTTAAATCTCTCAAATATACTTAATTGATTACATTCTTTTCCCCCAACTTGCTGTGAGTATTGAACCAGTGATTCCTGTCAAAACTCAGGTGAATGTTCTCACTGGAGGTCAACTGAAGACACAATCTCAGGTGTGTTACATATGTTCACTTAACGAAGTGCCCTTAATGCCAAACCAGCAATCACCCCTTCCCAGCCCCCCTTGAATGTCAATTAGCCATAGGTGTCTGCTGAATGTAGAGTAGGTAACTAGCCAAAGGTGGGTACGTTTTGAGCTTTTTGTTGAAAGAGAAAGGTGGCCCATGTGTGGAAAAGCCCAATGCTAACCACACAGTTTGCACTAGAGAGAGTAAATAATCCTATCCTGAGTTATTTTTTTTACTGCGCATCGAAAATCAATTCCACTGAAACAACACCTTAAGTTTTTAGACAGGAAATTCCAACTATATCCCACAAAGGAAGCTGTTCTTTTTAAACTGTCTAGGAAAATGTACTTTAAACATATAAAACATATAGCAGTTAATTTTTTCCTGAAGCTAGCGCTTGCTACATTATGTCCATTCCCAGTGCTGTCAATCATTATCCAGCCAGCATATTGTTCAGAAGGTGGAGCTGTCAGGCAGAAGGAATAAAAGGTAAGAAAAGGAAGGCTTCTGCTTCTTGCTGATGCTGAGGGTAAGTGAGATTATGTCAAACCTTTAAACAGAGTCCTCTTTCTCTGCCCCACCCCCTGCTCCTATATAACATGTGCTGCAGTTAGCAATACCTGCTTTTTCCCAGCCAGTGGTGTGCTTGCTACTTGCCCCTGCTGATGGATGCTTTTGCTGGCAGCCCCCTTGGATGGCTCTGCGTGGGTGTCACCGTGCTTTTTGGAGTGACTGTGCTCTACATGACCAAGAGGAACCTGGTGGAGAAAGCAGATGTGCTGGTCTGGAGGCTCCTGCCAGCTTTGCTGGGGCTGCTGTGCGTGGCCACGCTGGGCACTGGCAGGGGGCTGGTGGTGTTCTGCACCTCGTGCCTCATCTCCTGCGTGTACCTGGGCGGCAGGGCACTGCTGCCCGTGGGTGACAAAGCTGTGCTCATCACAGGTGAGGCGCTACAGACGCACATTGGAAAGCAAAAACTGGTTTTTCTCACAAGTAGGCTGAAAAACTTTGTGCTCTTCTGTTAGGTATCTGTGAAATGCATGATTGTAAGGGGTTTTTTTGCTCATTTTATTTGCTTTGCCAGAGATGTTTTTTTCCAGGTAAATAAGTGTTCTGAAATTAAGTAGAGAAGCATCTTAATAGATGCTATTATTTTTTTAGTGTCTCATTTAATCTTTACAAGTAGCTTTTTAGACATACTTGTGAAATTAACTGGTGCAAAAAGCATAAGAATACTTATGATGGTCTAATTTTTTAGGAGAGATATTAATTTCTGGAAGCCCTCAGAACACTACGTTCATACATTACTTCTGTTTACTCGAGTTTATTGCACTGGTTATGGATGTATGGTTATCTTTTGGTGTGCGTGTTTATACAGTGCACACTGTGTATATCATGCATGTATTTCAAGACACTGGTTTGGTGCCATCTTTTTGAAACAATGTATGGAATAATTAGGGAGTCAGTAATTTCCTTCACTATCAGTAAAAGTTCAGAGCTAATGAATTCTGTTTCTATTAACATTCTGATCTACTCAAAACTCACTTTGTGTTTGCAGGGATGGCATTTTTGTAGTTTCATGGCTTTTCTCCTGTTTCTTCTAAAACTTTACATGTTGTTTATTTGTGTTATTCAAACCCTTAAACCAGAGTGCCTGCCAACTGCTTCTTCCATTGTTAACTTTCTCTTTTTTGTTTTATCTTCTGTTTTTCCCCTCTTGAAAGCTAAATCAAGTTGCTTTGGTTTGTATGGCTATTTCTTGCAGAATTTAATTTTGTTTTATAGGGACACCTGGAAAGAGCTTAGATATGCCTAGCAAGTGTTAATGTGGGGGTTAAACACAAAAGTTAAGAGAGGACAAGATGAACAGCAAGTTCTCTCTTTGTGGTTTATCTGCCAGCTGGGTTTCTCCCTGCAGGTGTATCAGATGAAGATGGATATCAGGCAGGGGGGGAACAGGGAACACTCCTTTCCCAGCCTTGCAGACACAGGGGTTGTACTTGCACTTAGGTATTTCCTTGCTTTTTGTAAGACTGCAGTTCTTCAGGAAAAAAACACTCTCTCAGAGCTTACCTGATGGAGCAAATTTGAATTAGAGCAATATAAGGGAGTGAAGAACATTTGGGTATATTTTAACAAGTGAATGTGCTTTCTTTGTACTTCTGTTGCAACTGTCCTGAAGAAAAGCAGGTTTGGACACCTCTGTCAGCCGACGTGTCTGAGGAGGCTCTTCTTGGTCTTTATTTGAATCCAGAGTGGTATGATATCGATCAAACCCTCCATCAGCTGAAATAAAATTTTAACTCAGCACGCTTCTTGGTTAAATTGCTCTGATTGTTGTACTCTTCCTCCTACTAGCTGTAGGATGTGTGTCTGTGTGCAGGTGCAAGGTGTCTTTAAATCCATTTTGGTGTAATTTTCTCCAATTTAGACAAGACCTGAGGCAGGCATTTCATGGGAATGGTGATTTTTTTTTTTTTTTTTTTTTTTTCCCCGTCAGCCCCACAGGGTTGAGGAATGCTGCTGTGCTCTGGGCAGGGAGATGTCTGCCTTTGGCCAGAGGGTGGAGTAATCTTTGTATTTCTCTCCTTGGATTTTGTCAAACATTGTTCTGGTCCTCTTTGGATGCCTCTTGTATGGGTGCTGTTGTGCATCATTTATTTAAGCCGGCAGTTCACCGGAGTACTATGATAAGGGAAAACTGTGCCCAGTTGTCAAAATGCTTTTTCCCATGAATGCCTGTGGGCATGTGAGCAGTCTCAAAGTAATTGATGAAACATTTCTGTTGATCCTCTTGCTAGGAGCTAGTGCTTCAGTGAAGCTCTTGGGCATGTGAACACTAGTGTAGATTGGTAGACCCAATAGCCAGCTTCCCTAAAAATTAAATTACCACGAAGATCTGAATTAGCAGGAATTGCACAATTCTTGCCTCAGTTTTTCTGTGTGCAGTGGGATAAATTTTTCCAGTTGACTTGTTTTTTTCATTCTCAGTGTGTGGCTTGATGTTTCTGATGCTCAGTGTGAGTCAACGATAAATTCTTAGTAATGATTCAGTTACAGTAGGTAGTGACTGCCTTTCTTACGATAAATCTCATAATAATTCGTAAATTGTTATATTTGACATAGAAGCAAGGAGAGATGGGTGTGTGATTTCTCTATTTCTTCCCTATAGAGACCTACCTACTCTTTGAATTTTCTGAGTTGAAGGGTAAAGTTTCTCTGGACTTCAATAACGGGTCTTAAATCAGACTTGTTCTGATGAAAGATGGGGACAAACCCTGTGGCAGGCATAGATAAACACTGCTTTTTATTTCCTTGGGATTGCTGTACCCATCCCTAGCTGTTGAGCACTTTTCCCCTTTCTAAGTTAAAGCTACATGGTAAAACTTAAGTAATATGTAGTTCTGTGGCTGTGTACTTGCTGGGAAAGATGAAAGAGGAAGGATTTGATCCAGAAATAGGGTTTTTCACTAAAAGAAAAAAAAAAAACCCACTCCCAAACCCAGAAATCTGTCATGTCTGGGATATTTGAAGGCCTCTTCATGCCTCTTTAGGGAATTCCAAGAATGCAGGTTTGTTCTTTCAGGTCAGGGCTGTGAGAAGCTAAGTGTGATATATGTGGTGCTCTGGTGCATCTTCAACAAACTGCAGACTTCAAAAATGCTAAAAAACATTAAAAAAAAAAAATTAAGTAGAGCATGAGTAATTCTTTTCAACATCTTGCACTGATTGATCCAGGCATTTAGTATGTGCTTCTTTCAAGTTACCTGAAATTTTTTTTTTTTTTTTTTTTTTAACCTTTCGGTACTAAAGCCCAGGTTAAGACAAACCCCAGAAATTAAGATCTAGCATGATTAAGATGAGTCTCTTTGGCAGTCAGATTCCATTGACTATAGATTTGACTCCTGAAGCATGGTCCCTATAAACTCCTTCCCTGTCTCTAGCAGAGCCCTGTGTCACTTCATTGGGAGTCTTGGTGGGCAGATGGGTGAGACGTTTGCTTCCTTGTTAAGAAGTTTCTCTTTGGATGGGAAGAATGGAAACCAGAATTTAAAAATACACCAGGAGAGAAAACACTCAAAAATACCTTATGGTAGCAGCAGCAAAATACTATATCAATGGGAGAGACTTGTGAATCAGTCAAATTATTTGTTAAATATTGATCATTGTTACCTGATGGGAGGAATTGCACAACTGTGATCACAAAGACTGTTGTGTGTTTGCTCTAACAGTGCTTCCTGCATTTGGTAGTTCATTGCTTTATACGGACACAGTTCGGGAGTAATTTTGGAAGAGGGTAGAGAGGATAAGAGAAATTATGATGCAAGTTTGCATTAGTTAAATAGCTGGTGCTATTTGGTTTAGCTTAAAAAAGTCCCATTCTGAGGCTTTATTAGGGCTTGAAAGCATTGAACTCGTCTGCAGATAAAGAAACAGTTGCTTAGCTTTGGCTTGGTTGCAGCCTGTGACAAAAAAATGTTTACTGGAAGGGTATGAATGGTAGGTGTTTGAAATAATGCTGCTAATTTGAATTAAGAAATAGAACCCAAGTCTGAATTCCAATGCCCTGTAATTGCTTTGTCCATCTGAGATTTCAAATTAAAATATTTGAGTGGTGTATGTTGGTGTTTTTTTTTTTTTTTTCTTAGACATTTCTGTTGTCAGGCTTTAGTCTGAATATTTGTATAACCCAATCTAGGGTTTTATTTCCTCTGTATGCATGAAGTAAGTCTTAGAATCTGTCAGTGGTAAAGCATGAGCTGATGCCATCAGCTCTGAGCCAAGTGGACATGGTCTATCAGTTTTTGTGGAACATGCAAAGGTCTAACTCCTCAGTCCTTCAGATCTGAACCATTCTTCCTACTGTCATGCATTTCAGTGACTTTACTTAATAATCTTTTTGGTTACATTTGCATGTACTTCCAATGTGTGCCTTTTTTTTTTTTTTAATGGTGGTTTAGGAAAGACCCACTTTTCAAGTGTCATTTTGATGTTTTCAGGAAGTGACACTGGGATTGGACATGCACTGGCTAAATACCTGGATAACTTAGGTTTTATGGTGTTTGCTGGGGTTTTGAATAAGGATGGACCTGGAGCTGAGAAACTGAGACGGACCTGTTCTCAGAGACTCTCTCTGCTGCAGCTGGATATAACCAATGCTACCCAAGTCAAGGAAGCCTATCTAAAAGTCTCAGAGAAGGTGCAAAATACAGGTACTTTGGTTTTTTTTTTTTTTTTCATTATAATGGGAGTACTAACGTAGCTGCTTACAAGGTACATCTCTTAACTGTTGGCTGCATCATGGCTTATGTGTGTAGGTCATTTCCATGCCACAGTCTGGGGGCAGTCAGAGTATTTATATTGATGACTCCTGCTTTCTGGGACATGAAAAATGGTGATGACTCTTCATGTGTATCTGTAGATGCAGATCATCTCTGCTTTGATCTGGAGCCACCATCCAGCTCATCAGTTTAATCTTTATGGAGTTAATATCCTGCTGTGTAGCAACCCTGTACGTTCTCCTATTCCCAGGGCTCTGGGGAGTTGTGAACAACGCGGGCATCCTGGGCTTCCCTGCCGACGGAGAGCTGCTCCCCATGAGCATGTACAGGCAGTGCATGGAGGTGAATTTCTTTGGGGCTGTGGAAGTGTCCAAGACCTTCTTACCGTTACTTCGGAAATCCCAGGGGAGGCTGGTTAATGTGTCCAGCATGGCAGGTGAGCTGAACTAAAGCACCAAATAAATATCTGGTGCAACAGAAGAAACAACTGACTTCCTTGGCAAAAATGCTGAGGAAGGTGTCGGTTGGTATTGCTTGTCAATACGCCTAGGGAATTAATAACTAGGTAGTAAGTGCAGGTTTTTCTTTTGTTTAGAAGACTGTTTCCAAAAAACAGCCTTTAAAGAAGAAGAGTTTAATATGGCTAAAAATACACTTATAGAAAAAACAGTAAAATTCAAATCTTGTGTTATAGATGCCATGAGTGATAGCTTTGTGAGCTTCCAGAAAGATGGGTGGTAAATCACAGATGTTTCTATAATGTGTTCCAGCAGAAGTCTGTGACCACCTCAGTTTGTGTGTCATTGAACCACACTGTGGAGATGCCCAAAAGCTGTCTCCCTTTTGCAGAGACAGACTGTCTTCCCCTTGGGCTGCTTGTACATGAAGTATCAACCTTTTTTTAATACTTTGAGTTAAAACTGGAATGTAAATATCTTTTGAGTAAGTTCATGACATTTGCCATTTGTAACAGGTCTATAATAAATGTTAGATATTTCTCTTGGGCAGCTCCACCTCTCCGTTCTTGTAGGGCTCAAGTACTATAGTTAGAGTGAAAAAAGGACAATGATAAAATACCTGCAGAAGAGGAACATCCAATTCTTCAAGAGCAGAAGCCAGTTTTATTTTTTGCTGCATCCTATGGTTCTTTCTGGAGTACACATCCTAGAGCATGGTCTGCTAATAACTTGAGACCTGAAGAGTATGTGTTTATATTTCTTTAAAAATACTTTGAGTACCTTCTTAACAACACTTCAGCCTAATATATTAGCAAAATGGTATTTTTTCATTAATAAAATAACTTTTAAAAGAATTATTAACAGCATGTTATAGGCTCTTCAGTTTTGTCCTATAAAATGAATCCTGTGCTTTCTATATATGTCTTTATAACATGACATTCTATTCTAGGGGAACAGCTGAGAGACTAAGATGTAGGAACAGAAGTAATGCAGTATCTGGTAGCCAACAGTTGAGGAGCAAGAATGCTCCTTTGAAAATGAGACCTGATGGAAGTAGGATGTTGTGGTGCTGGAAAGTATTTTGGTTTAAGACCTCTTAAGAATTTGCCATATGCTCTGCTTCCCAAATTTGCTTTTGCCTTGTTTTCTTGGACCCTTATTTCTGCACAGTTGGTATCCACTTGAATCGCGCTGTATTGCTGATGTGGCTTGTGCAAGCTTTACCCTTGTGCTCATGGCTTATGTTGAGGATGTAACCGCAGCCTAGATTTGACACTTCAGTCTTCTGTTTTTGTTTTTTTTTAATACCAATTATGTTTGGTATATGCATGCCTGTGTTATGGTTCATTACTGATACTTAAATCAGGACTGAATTATCAGAAGGACCCTTCTGGTGCTGCTCTGTCCACCAGTCCTTGCAAGCACAGAGACAGAGGACAGGCATCTGTTTTCTCTGATCACCCAAGTGAAGCATGCAATTTTGATGTTTTGGGGCAGATGTCTTAATTCTTGTCATGAATCCCTGAGCTGCCTTGCAGGGATAAATGGAGAGCTTTCTCTGTGCTGAGTAATTTGCCCATACAGGAGTTGATAATGACCCTGCTTAAACTATAGCTGTTCACACAGATGTTCTTGCATGCGGGCTAGTTTAGGTAAACAGCTTCCTCTTAACACAGGGTCTGAGGGTCCTTTGGTAAAACATTAGCAGAAAAGTTAGTAAGGTCTCATTGTGCCCAATCTATTCCTGTCTGTAGAGCTAATTTAACTGGGCTGGAGGTTAGCCTGACCTCAGAGGGAAAGAGTATGTGATTCAATGGCTCAAACCAGTTGAAACTCAAACTTATTCAGATGCATACAGAAGAATAATTAACATATAATTGCCCTGACTTTTTCAAAGGAATGACTCTGTGTAAGAAGCTCCCGTGATGCCCTCGTTGCAGTACAAAGCCCAATAAATGGTACCAGTGGCTTGCCTGAAAATTCTCCTGTATAGAAGTATTTTCTTTTAAAAGATTCAAATACTTTGAGATGAATGTGTAATGTTTGAGACTGAGGCTGCACTGGAGGATGTGCCCAGCTGCCCATGCAGACAGGAGGAGTGATGTGCCTCAAGGAGAAGGGTTGCCCATTCTGTTCCCTCCTCCCTGCTGTGCCAACACAGCCCGTGGTGGCTGTGATGACCCCTGAATCTGGCAGTGATACTCTGTGCGGTGGTAACACCAACCTTGTGGAGAAAGCGGTAGGGCTGAAGAAGGGGAAGATGCTTAAATGCAAGTGTCCTTGGATTTTTCTAAAGCTGAAGAAGTGGCAGTCTGCCAGTTCTTGTAACAGAGGAAATCTTTGTATTTGGAAGATAATATTTTCTGGAAGCTTTTGTTTTGTAAACATGGATTTATTTTAAATTCACCTGAAATACTGGCTGTTTTCTATCTTCTCCAATCCCAGAAACATTTGTTCAGATAGAAAAGTTGGGATATAACTATAGGCAGGGGATGTGCTTCTCTGATGGGTCTCAGGGAGTCCTGCCATCCAGGTGGTATGATTCCAGCTTTGGTTTGTCCACCAAGGTTTTCCCCACTCTTCCACTGTAGTCTCTGGTCTTTCTGAAACTAGCTGGAAAGAACTGGAGCATAAGTTGGCTTTATAAAGCTAGAATCGAGATTACTTACTCTGTTGTAACTGTGGTTTATAGTAGGAGCTTGAAATTCGTGTTACGGTGACAACAAGAACAGCAGCATTAAACTATTGCTTCACTATTTATATGAACTAAAACATTATCTGTGTTTCTGAAAACAACAATCATAATTTTCAGCAGTTTCTTCTCTTGAAGGCAATACAGTTTATTTTTTCTGCCATACAAGGTGTCTTATCAGGTGTTACTGAGCATAACTGCTATAAGCGACTGTTAATTTACAACTTTCACTTTTTTTTAACCTCTAGAAAGAAATGATTCCCTCACTGACTTGTCTTTAACCTCAGTGAGAGCCGCATAATTTTGGTTGCGCTGTAATCTTCCTTCTAAATCATGAAAATAAAGGCTGGAAGGAGCCACTGCTGAGGTTTATCATGTTTATATTGCTCCTGCAGGAGGCATTCCACTACCGAGGTATGCTGCATATGGTGCATCAAAAGCAGCTCTGTCCATGTTTTCTGGAGTAATGAGGCAAGAGCTTTCCAAATGGGGAATTAAAGTTGCTGCAATTCATCCATCAGGCTTCCGAACAGGTTGGTGTTTGACATTTTGTGTAGTTCTTTCTGCTTCACCTCTTTCCCTGTAGTCCAGCATCGTCAAACAGAGCCCTGAGTGATTCTCAGCAGTTGGACTTTTTTTCCCATTCTTCATGCTGGTTATGGAAATTAAGATCCGCATTTTTTTGCGAGAGGTGTTCCCTCTAGTTCTGCGTGCTGCCTGCCTCTGCCTTGCGAGTGTAGCCTTTCTCCCGGGCAGAGCTCTCTTTGCTTTGAGACGGGGCAGGGTTCAGGCAATTGTTGCCTTCCCTTTGCTCTAGCTTTGTTGAAGTTAACAAACCGAGCATCACAATGTGCTTGATTTGAGTGTTATGGCTTACTTGTCCTGCATGAGAGCTTCAGGACTCGCTGTCAGTCCTACATTTCTCAAGATCAGAGCTCTCTTTATCGATCTGCTCAGTCTTGCATTGAAGAATCTGCAGCGATACCTGTCATCCTGAGTACTTTCTGTCAATATCAGTCTGTATAGTCTCTGATCTTTCCACTCCTTCCTTCCTCTGCGGTCCTGCTGCTTTCAGTTCCAAATCCTCCTCCTCTTTCCACTGCTCGGAGTGCTTTCTGCAGAGCCTGTCTGGGTTACAGACTCCTCTCCTGCACCATGCACCCTCGCTGCACCCCGTGCCCAGCTGGGAGCAGGGTGGGTGTCCACACAGGTTCCTGCTCTGTGGACATGCCTGTCAGGTACCTGAGGATGACATCAAATCCCACTGCCACCTACTCATCAAGTCCCAGTGACTTGATGGAGGCAGTTTTTATGCTGATGAAAATCAAAATGGTCTTTTTCATAGAGCCCCAGTCCCTCAAATGCCTCCTCTCCTGGGGAGGGGCCCTGCAGGGCACTGGGCTCTGACAGCAGTGCCTGTATGGTCAGCAGTATTTGCCTGTGGTTGTACCTGCAGGGCCCTGCTTAGTCGTCAGACTTCTGAATGAAAACTTCATGCATCAAAACAAGTCCCAGTATTTGAGATTTAATTATTTATTATTTTTTTCCCCCTCTATTTGCAATGCTTAATTCATGATAGTTAGGCAATAAATGCATTGGAAGAGCCACTGCTTTCATTCCTCCATGATGCAGATGGGAGGAAAAATAGATTTTTTTTTTTTTTTTTAATTTTTTTTTAAAGATCTGGCCTAATATAAACCTTATCCTTGATGAAACTAGTTATTGAGATACCAATGTCACTCATGAAAGAGGAGCTTAGCACTTGGCCAACCCAAGTGAATCCTGGTCATCATGGTTTGCCTGTCTTTCCTCAGTCACTCACATCTGTTAATAAATACTGATAAGAAACACCCACAAAATGAATAAAGACAGAATGGGGTGGGTTGAAGGGGAAAAAATTTTGACATGACTGTGAGACCCTTGTTAGATAGAGCTGATAACCAAATGGTGCATGAACCCTATGGTTTTTGTCTAGTCTGTGTTTCATGCTTTCCCTTCCAGGTAAAAGCTGTTTTGTCTGTTCTTCACTGGCACAGTTTAGAACAACTGTGAATCAGGGTGGTGGTGGAGAACAACTTGTTGACTATTAATTATAGATGAATTTTTAAAATGCAGCCCAAACCCACTTGCTATCCTCTGATGTTGCTGCTGCAGGTATAGAAGGCACATCCAGCCTGTGGGATAAGCAAATAAAGGAGCTGATGGAGAACCTCCCAGCACACACAAGGCAAGACTATGGTGAGGACTACCTCCTGGGGCTGAAGAGCTACTTCCTGCACATGCCTGCGTACTGCAACGCCGACCTCTCCCCCGTGCTGAACGCTGTCCTACACGCTTTGCTGGCCAAGAGACCACATGGCTTGTACACCCCTGGCAAAGGGGCTTACATGTCCCTCTGCATCTTCTGCTACTTCCCTCTCTGGTTCTATGACTTTGTCATTGGTAAGATGATGACTACTGAGTCTGTCCCAAGGGCACTGAGAACATCAGAATCTGAAAGCAAGAATCTCTAAGGTATCCATCAGCATTTGTCTTGATGAGATAACTGGGAAAAACTCTGTTTTAGGACACTGCTATTTATTGTACTGTCTTTGTTAAATTGCATTTACACTACCTTGCAAACAGAGGTAAATCTTTGTGTTAAGAATAATGTTCAGGAAAAGCGGTAGATAAACAGAAATAGAAAGCTATCTGGAGGAGGAATTTTAATGTTTTCATGACGTCTTTGTATCCTGCCTTCTGTGTTAAGGTATCTCATGAGGTTATATAGTTCCTGTCTGATTCAAAAAGCACCACCAACACATAGATGTATTAGCTGTTTTTCAAAACCAGACCAAAAAATCCTTGAAAGTCAATAACATTCTTAAATGTTAGAAGGAGTTGCATATAATCCTATCACTGGATAGATTTAGAAATGTCAAATGCAAATCTTTCTCACTGCAGCTTCAGCCTAACATGTTTTGGGTTTTCTGTTGTTGGTTTTCTTCTGTTCTGTTGCTGTTGGACCTGAGAAATGATTGACCTTTTTTCCCCCAAGTTTTGTGAAGTATAGTTGTGATGTTTATAATGTGTCCTTTTTGCTAGACTAAGCAACATAAATTGGGGGAAAAAATGAACAAAGATCAAGACCTTCACAAAGAAACTATCAGTCTCCATCCTGCAGTATTAGAAATAGTAATAGTAAGTAAATCAGCTGCTAATTTGATTTGTCTGTCTTGGTCATTCTGTGCATTGCCTGTATATGCCTGTGCTTCTTTAATTATTAGTAAACTCTGATCTCACTTATGCTTTTTGTACAATTCCTTACTTGGTTTCTGGGTTTATGAAAAACTCACATTTTTGCCCATTTCTCCTGGCACCTTCCTGTGTCTCCCTCTGCTTTAGGGATAGTTTGTGCTCACTCCTCTAAGATCAGTCAGTGTTCAGGTTAGCTTTACTGGAGTCCAGTGTCCACCTTCTGATAGACTTTGTCACTCCCCTAAATTAATTCTAGGAACATCAGGTGCTGTCTCTGCGCCCTACACCATAAAACCCTCACCAATGCCAAGAGGTTGTGCAGCTCACCTATACTTTTCCTTCCCCACTCCCTTTTTGCATTGCCCATCATATCCTCAGGCTTTGAAAGGCTGTGGTATTTTGAAAGAAAGCCTCATCCCCCTGAGTTCCATGGTTTGTCTGTCTGTCCTATGCCTTTCTTTGACAAGATGCATTTCTTTTCTGATGATGAAAAATTAAATCATTACATTCTGCGCTTTAAATGTAGATGCACTTTTTTCCTTCCCTTCCTGAGCAACTTCCTCTTCTGTCATAATCCTGCTTATGTGATGTACTCTTACAGTCAGCTGAACAAAATCACTATTTAATTTGCATCTCGATTATTTCTTCCTGCATCTTTTACATTGATGCAAGATGCCTGTAAATGCACAGAGAATACTCAGCAGACTTGGCCCACCATTGTAATTTGTGCCCCAGTGTGGAAATCTTTCTGTCATGATTACTGCTTTTGCTGCTGAGGTTTATCTCCTTGTGGGTTTATATCAGTCCCCTGATTACAGACTTTTGCCTTCCTTTGAGAAAGTGTGACCAAAAATGTTTTTCACTCAAATTCTGGGACAATTTCTATCTCTCTACCCATTTTTTCCTTTATTTTCCAAATTTTTTGTCAGCAAAAGTGCATAATAAAAAAAAAAATATAATATTTAGAAACTGGATTGTCGTGACTCTTTCTGTCTCATCTGACCCGTTGTGCTTTTGGGGACTGGTGCTACAGCCCCTCCCTTCTCGGGCTGGCCTGGTTCCAGGGAGACCATGAAGAGGAGTAGGAGAGTAGGAGTTGGAGAGCACTGAGGAGGAAGGTGGTGAGGGACCTTCTCAAGGGAAAAGAGACAAAATGGCAGTTGGTGCCTTGTTTTGGGCAGAACATGATCCCAAATGGTTCACAGGCAGCTTGTGAACTGCAAGGAAAGGTGGGTGCTAGGGGGTGCAGAGCTGGGGGAGCACTGGGTGGCAATCTTCAGGGTGCGGGAACTGTTGCTGCCTGTCAGCCTATCTCCATCTTGGACAGAGGTTGTGGTTTTTCACTTAATGCCCAATTTAAGTGTAACAGTCTGGAATTTTGCCCTTAGGTACATTATATAATACACAACCAAAATTCCTCATAGCAGCCAGTTAGCTTTTTTGTGTAGCAATCTTCATAACAATCTTTAATTGTTGCTTTGCTATTTGGCTGTGGTTATAAAATGTTTCTTTTTTTCTCCCCTTCACTTTCTTGATAGGAATATTATCTTGCACATTGCAGACGTATTAAACTAGGCATCTATGTGGAAGATTGGATTTCTTTTTTTTAACTTTTATTTCCCAGGAAATTTGTGTTCTAAATAGTCGTTTTACTTATCTTCACCTAACTACGAAGATATTTTAGCAAGTCTCAGATAATTGTGTATCAAAGATTCTTATTGTTTTGTTCCTACAGGGATCTTACTTCGTTTTAAAGATAATTCTGTTGTAACACATTATTGAATTATGTGTCATTTAATGGGCTGTAGTATTAGAGGTAAATTTATTTTCCTAATGGCTTGCATTGCAAATAATCCAAACTGGGAGAAATGCAGAATAAATTGTGAATGTCTGTGGCCAATGTGCCCATGTGGATGTTAATGCTGATGCTAGCTTATGCTCTCAAGGATCAGCGTCTAGGTGCTATGCTCCTTTGGCTACTAAAAATGCTGATCTAATACAAAGTTATTTTAAGAGTGGGAAGAGAGGATGTTTAGTTCTAGCAGTAGAAAGTGATGTATTAAAATACTCAAACTAATCACCATGATTTGGGCCTATTTTCAAAGACAGCATTTCTAACAAAAAGCATATGGCGTGAAGAAAAGCATCTGAGAAATTGAAGAAATTGGCTATAGCCCTAGAAAAGGACTAGTAAATAATGCTCTAAAATGTCACTTAATGCCCCACACTAATCAAGTATCTATATATTAAAAACATACATGTATTGTTTAAAAGGGGTTATATGCTGCAGAAATCATGATTGAAAAGCAGTTTTATATATATCCCTGTGATCCAGCCTCTGGAATGCAGGTTGTGACCAAGAAGTAAATGCTGTCGGATGCTTTTTACCAAGAAATCCCTGGCTGGTGTCCTGGGGCTCCCACTCTCCTACTCTGCGTTTATTACTCTGGCTGACATCTGTTCTTACTTCATATGAACAATTGATTTTAAGATATGTGGCTTTGGTGAGACGGAAGGTGAGTTATAAAGTCATTTGTTTTTATAACTTTTTTTTTATTCTGGATCCATTTGCCCTCTTTACAGGGCCCCTGATGACAACCATATCTAATGCATGCTTTGAGCACTGCAAGCTGGAGAACAGAGATAAAATATCAGGCTTTTTTGTGGTTATGTCACCGGCTGGCTATGGCAGAAAGCCATGGCGGGGAGGTTTTGGTGGCCACTTGCTGAAGGACCATCTCTACATTTCAAGAAGTGTTAACGTTTGGGACCATTCATGTGGCTGGAGGTAAGGAAAAAGGCAGTGAAAGTTTAAAGTGTGTTCAGATGAGAGTTCTGACAGTGAGTTTGAGGTTGGATAAAACTGATGGTGTAGGAGAGTGAGGAGCTCTAGGTCACTGACAGTTACAGACTCATGTGGGGACAGGGATTAATACGAAAGTTGCTTTCAAGCTCTGTAGGAGGTGGAGCAGCCACTCCTGCATCAGGCCATTTTGTACTGGCTGCTTTGGTAATGTTTAAGCATAACTTTGCTGTTAAAGCCAGAGCCATCGATATAGCGTCAAATACATCCAGTAATCTTAAAGCCCATTTTTTACTAGTAGAGGCCAAAAACAGGGACAGGGAGAAAGGGAATTTTCTAATTCTAGTCACTTTTTCTAATTTAATGAGCCTGAACAGAAGCTTAGTTATTTCTAAATGGAAGTATTGAAAATTTGTCTGTGTGACTGTTAAAATGACTACTTACTGTTAAATATACGTGAATACTACAGAACCTCCTGATTTTGCTAGTCTGAATCCCTGCTATCCTGAGGGAGTAAATTCCATGTTCCTATGAGTACATGCCCTGATGCGTATGAGGTTGTGTTTTTTCTGTTTATAGTTGCATAAGAAAAGTGGTTATAATGTTTGTATGTATTCTTTGTGTCAAAAGGATACCTCCAGGGAACTTTCAGATCTCAGTGATGTCAAAACACACTGGTTTTCCTGTAAATTAACTAGTCTGGGCACAGCATTGCACAGATACTACTAAAATGGGTCACACATTTCATTCTCTTGAACCGGAGAGTCTACATCTGCCATCAGCACCCATCTGTGCACCAATAATATTTACAACAAGTTTGGGACAAATACATGAGTTTGGTCATTTTTTCTAAAGAGACTGATTCTGGGGTCCTTTCTGAGACAAAACTTTGACTGGTTTAGCCTTTTTATGGCCATGGTTTGGAAGCCAGCTGGATTCCCAGAATGATACAACACTCAAGTGTATTGTGCATCACGGAGTCGTTAATATTTCTAGGAACACTCAAAGAAAATTCCTTTGATATCAAATTCACACAGGCTTCAAAGGAAAAGCATTCAAATAAAAGACCTTAGCTCCTGCAACGAAATTAACAGGAGGATTTCTTTTTTTTTTTTTTTTTTTTAGTTTCTTAAGCGTTAGGATACATAAATGGAAAGTATCCAGGATACCAGGAAACACCCAGCACATTGGATCCTGAGATGCCTAAGGTGCAATTGTTCCTGCTGAAACTTGTCAGCTGATGTAGTGCTCCCTGGTATGCAGACACCATTGTAGGCAGTATTTCAATAGTCAATGCTTTTGTCATCCAAGCTGAACATTAGAGCTGTTGCTGTTCAATTATAGATGTATTGTGGCAACCTTGAGGCAATGGGCTTTTACCAAAGTAAGAGAGGTAATTGCTTTTATTTTTAAAGCATGACCAAATAATAAATCAAAAATCGCTGACATCTCATGAAAGGAGGTGAGTTTTAAATCTCTTTAATAGGATAAATGGGCTTTAAGCATGCTGTATAGGTCATTGTAACCTAAGCTAATGAATCTGGCTCTAACGACCTGTATGAAAGTAATTACAGTGATATAAACAGTCTCCACAGTTTTAATGCCTGGAATATGCAGGTTAAACAATCCAGGTTTATATCCCTGTTCATCTTGTTGCCTTTGGGAAGAGCACTGAACAAGCTGGAAACTAGTCCTGTGAGCTAAGAATTTGGGTCTTCCCAACTGCCATGAGTGAGAAAAATAAGGACAGCTCAGTGGTGAAAGGATGGGTCTCAAATCCTAGTGGAGTCAGCTCAGCTTTGCTACTAGTCTGATAAATCAGGAAAGCTCTGTGAGGTGAACAGTGTGTAGCAATCTCTACAGAGCCTTTCAGAAGTGACCCCTTAATTAGACTATTCTTCTTCTGAAAGTTTTGCGTTTTGGCCATGTTTCCACCTAGCCCATCTGGATTTGGGACTTTCCCCTTGTGGTATGAAAGGATGTATTTCAAACTTCAAAATAAAAGCTGAAAGATAAGAAAAGATCAAAGGGTAGAAGAATAAAAGATCTAAAGAAAACAAAATGACAGTGATTGGTATAAATGGCAGGCGGCGAAGGCAGGAAGGCAGCATGGTGATGCTCAAAAAATGGGTTTGAGCAGGTTCAGCTCCATGGGCATGTTATGCTCTTGGTCATGTTAACCTACCCCCTGTCTTCCACACCTCCTTCAACACCTGACTTTAAAAAGTGTTATTTAAGAGACTGTGAACTATGATAAAATTACTTACTTTGAAGCCTTACTCATGTTACTTGGTTTTGTAGCACGCCATCCCACAAAACCCTGGGATGAGGGTGGCCTGTTCTGACATGAGGTGGTGTGCTGAGGACAGGGGTGGATGGTCCAAGCTTGACCTGCTCTCAGTGACTTTGGGTGGTAATGGCAGAAACAGGTCATTTTTTTGCACATCCCTGGGAATGGGGAGGTGATGGTGGTGTGACAGTGCTCATCAGCACTCCCACACTAAGCTTGCACAAGTCTGGCAGTGCTGTCTTGTTTGCACTCTTTCTCTGGGGAAAAGAAATGACGCTGTACTTTGTTTCATAATGGAAAAAGAAAATATTATTGCCTTTAGCCATAGTAATTTCCATAGCAGCAATCTGTGAGAATAGGCCTCATTGTCTGTCCTGGGTGTCCTGTGGGCATGCACTGTCAGCAACAGGCACTGACACCGATCCAGCAGCGTATGTGGAAATCTCTGATGCGTGTGTGACAGCAAACAATGCAAACAAGGTGAAGACGTGCATCTGAGAACAGTCCAAGGGTGATTTATTCCCCCACTGTGTGGGTGAATCCTGCCTTCTCAGAAAAAGGGTTAGAAATCACTGTTATGGCTTCTGCATATCTCAGAAAGCATCTTAATGCCTTTAATTTCTCAAACAAACTCAGCTTGCTGCCTGAAGGACAAAATCCTAAAGGGCTAATTTAATTAAAAAGATGAATGGGGGAAAACAAAGCAAACATGGTACAATTATTATGTTTTAATATATATACAGAAATGTAATCATGTTGCAGGCTTGGCATAGATGAATTAATGGAATAAGAGGCTTAAAAACTTATCATTTTTGAAAATGTTTTATCATGTAGAATCA